ATCTTGCATTTCTGCTGTGGCAGGATTGGGGAATCTCTATAAAATGAAAAATGCTCTAAAGCCATGTTTAGTGTCTGGAAAAAAACAAGTCTGTCTTTTTTTTTCTTAAGATCTAAGTTTATCTCTGAATCTTAGACTTGCTACCTAGACATCCAAGACCAATTTTACTTAAGGGGTGTGAAAATTGATTTTTTTTTTTCCCCTAGGAATCTGAAGGACTTAAGAGTTTGAGCTGAAGGATTCAAATAAAACCAACTACCTAGACATCCAAGACCAATTTTACCTAAGGGGTGTGAAAACTGATTTTTTTTCCTCCTAGGAATCTGAAGGACTTAGAGGTTGAGCTGAAGGATTCAAATAAAACCAGATCCACAATCATGGAAGGCTTTCTCCACACAGCTTTTGTGACTGTACTGGTAATCCTGGCATGAAACAGAAACCTTTAGATAGCAAGTGTTCTTGTCCTGCCTGAAATGGTGGTGGTAATAATGCAGTACTGAGGCCAGGGTGAGGGCACTTACCATGACAGGTTCTGCCTCCTACTACCTGGTACCCTTCAGGGCAGACACAGGAGAATTTTCCTGGTTCATTGACACACTGGTACTGACATATGTAACTTGAAGTTCTGCATTCATCAGTGTCTGCAGAGAGCAAAAGAGATCAAAGATACTGGGTTTTACCATCTGCCTTGTTACAGAGCTAAATATAATAGCTAAATCCTGGTTCTAACAGGGGAAAAAAGAAGAAATTCTGTCTAAAAAGACTGTTCCCAAAACCTGCAAGGTGCTGCTCAAGGCTCTCAAGCTGCAAACAGAAGGGCTACTTCTCCTTGTGCTTTAGCAGTAATCTTCCAAACTGAGACTTTTGGATTTGAGGAAGCAGAAGCTAAATTAGACTTCAGAACAGGTTTGGGAAACTAACTCTTGAAAGAATGTATACTTTTAGTGTTCCAAAATGTGATTACTTTCACAAAAAAAAACCCCTCACAGATGTGAGATTAGTTACTAAGGCAAAAATGTTGCCTTTGTACTCCTGCCCTATGCTACTAGAGTAGCTCTCTGGGAAAAGGGGAGGCTGGGTTTTTCTCCTCAAAGAATACTCAGTGTATACCCTTCTCCTTTGTTTTTTATCCTTGTGTAGCCACCAGTCCCTTGCTAGAGCACTGCAGTGTGAAACAAAATTTAACAGACTACACCATGAACTGGAAATAAATGAAACCTCTCCAAGCTATGGAATGGCCTGGAAAACACCATCACTCCCTCCTCCAGCCTCTGAGGTTTGAGCCCAGCTCTTCATTTTGGGTCAGGGATGTCCTTGGAGGCTGCATACTTGCTGCTCCCTGTTCTGTTTGCTTGCAAGTAGGATTAGCTTAGGAAGCTTGGAGAGGGAGCATCTGTAATAGCTCTGCTGGCTTGTTTAGGAGGGCAGTGGTAAACCAAAAAGACCTCTTTGGCTCCAAGACTGGTAGAAAGGATATGGGCTTTAAGGGTGAGATCATCATGTGTCCAGAAAGAGATTAGAGGACCCCTGTGGAGACCCTGGCAGAGGAAATAAAAGTGCTGATTGTATAATCATCAGGAGACGTGCTGTTTGTATACAGGGGCTTGAAAGCCCCTCAAAAGCACAATTGTCCCTTCCTCCAAATCAGAAATGGGAGGGTTTATTTCAGAGGAACCCAACGACACACCAAATTGCACTTGTTTTTGGTTTGCATTCCTTTCCCATTCATTTAATGGTCATCAGCAGCAGACCACACACAACTCCAGTGAGCTGGTGAAATAAGGAGTCAGAAGCTTTATTCTTCCCAGCTGTGCTCTGAGCTGCAGCAATCTGTCCTGGTTTGCACTTCACATTCAAGTGAGACCCAAATCTGCACGTACCTGAATGCAGCTGCAGCTACTATGGGGTGTATCAGCAACTCTCTTTGCCAGGTATTTAAAAAAAAAAAAGTCTTAAGGGTTTTGGCTACAAACTGCACTCAGTGTGGCTCCACTTGAATTCTCTCTCTTAGCTCATAGAAAGACTTCTGGGAAAATAATTAAATGGGGAAAAAAAAAAAATCACTCTTCTGAGACCCAAAAAAAGAGTTGCTTACCTTCACAGTTGATTCTGTCACTGCTTAACTCAAATCCTGGATTACACTGACAGATGAAAGAACCCAGTATGTTGTAACACTGTTGGGCACACGGGTTATTGGCATCACATTCGTTTATGTCTGAAAGGAAAAATTACAGATCTTTATCTTGTGTAGCTGGTAATTAGGCTGATTAAGTGGATTAGGCCTTAGTCTGGGTCTATTACTTAGCAGAAGCTCAGCTGACTCTATCAATATAGATCTGCAGTCACTGGAACCAAGTCAAATCTATGCTTTACATTCCATGTAGAAAGAGAGTTTTTCCAGGAATGAGAGTTATTCTAATGCATGATGAATTCTTCCAAAAATGTTTAGTGTGGCTGTTAAACTCCACATTCCAGCCTCTCCTGTCAGGTAGGAAATGCCAAGTCTCTATAAATAATTGATATAAGGAACACATACTGATAAGACCTCTCAGCATGTAGTGGTTAAGATTTATTGGAGCTATTTATTACTCTTAAAATTTCTTTTGAATTCCATTACAATTATAACATGAGCCTCTGAGGCCAGTGGAGCTCTACAGCTTAGACCATATTGGGGGAAGGTATGTTTCTGTGCAGGACTTTTTCCATCATGTGCCCCCCCCCTAAGAACATGTGTGAGAACACTGTGGTATGAGAAGAGGAGCAATTTTTAATGGGAAGTTTATATAACTGTAATCACCTCTGGAATCTGCAGCACTTGTTTTTTCATAAGCTGTTGACTAACTGCTGCTCCTCTGTGCTTTGCTCTGTAGATGTTCAGTGTTTTCCCTGCTATTCCTCCCCTGCCTGCTTTCCATTCATGTTTGTGTTTATCAGATAGAATCATTAGTAGGGAGCTGCACTTGAAAAAAAAAAACCCTCTTGAGTTCCTGGCTTTTGCAAATGCTCATAAATGTCAGGAACACTCAGTCACTTAGAGATACAACTGCAAACTGACAAAGCCAGCTCAGATTAGGCACCCACAAACACTCAACCAAGGAAGGGAAGACTCATTATCTATGTGATGAACCTCCTAGTCCTGAAAATTAATGATAGTAAGGGAAAAGGGATTACAAAGCTTTATTTTTTCCCCTCCTTTTAGTTCGTTTCTGGCAACAGTGCAGAGAATGTACCTCCTGACAATGCTACCAGAAGGGATAAATAAGCTAGCCAAAGCTGCTGTTCTTTGCTTGCCTTCCAAGAAATATTGACCTGCTTTCAATATATGCAAAAGTTGTCACACAGACCTCATGTCAAGTAGCACTTCTGCCAGCTGAGAAAGTCTCTCTGGGTGCAGCAACTGTTCATTTACAACTTTTCCTCTGAAGATGCACTTCACCTCCCCTGGTAGAAGCAGGCTTTACAAGGCTGGAAGGCCAGCAGGCTGCAGAAGGGGGTGTTTGGGTGAGGCCCCCAGGCAACCTGGAGCTGCCATGGATTTGTGGGTGTAACTGGAAGAATACACCCTGCATTTGAGCCCTGCAAAGGGTCAATTAGGTAACAGCTCGTCACGTGGTTATATTGTGTCCCTGTGCAAATTTTTATCCTATTAGCTGGTGAAAAGCAGGAATTTCCCTTCTCACCCCAGTGCTGAGCAGGGTGCCAGGGTATGTGGTAAGACACAGCAATGCTTGGGAGTAGTGGCAGAAGCTGGAAAACCCAGACTGGTATTTCTATATATAATATATTTGACATATATAAAGCCATAAAGAACTTCTCACCATCTCAATCACCAATCTCTTGATGTTTTTTTTATGGCTATTCTCTCTGTGCTTCAGCAGACACAGTTACCTTTGTATGATTACTCTAATTCTAGAGTAGAGCTTATTCCTATCTTAACAGTCTTCAAGTTTTAGTGCATTATGTAGTGCAAGTGTTTCACTTCTACAGGAGGATCACTTCTAAAGGGTCACTCTTCCTTAGTGACCCTCATTTTCATCTTTAACATTATTTTCTAGATACCCAAATGTGACATTTCTAGGTGCTTTCTTTCCTCAGTATGTTCACCAGGAGCTGAGGAGAAATGCACTTAACTGCAGAGGTATTGTATTGCTTCCCCTGCTCTCCAGTTCCCAGCCTGTGTTGCATGAACTGGGAATAATACCCTGAAAGCCAAGAATAATTCAAAGTGATCCACCAGAAGCGAAAGAATAATTAAATCTAAGATTAAATGATGAGTGTAAACCTCCAGGATTCCAGCTGCCTCAGTAGATGCTCCTCAGAAAGCTGCTACACCAACAAAATAACAGGTTGCTCCTAAGACTCCCATTTTCTCTCTAACCCTTCTGTACTTCTTGGATCACTTTCAGCAGAGCCTCTCCACGCAGCACGCCGTGTATCTTACCAGTTGGCGTCTACTTCCTTGAAGAGACCTAAATTTCACCCGTGGCAAGTCACCCATCAGCCTCAGCCCCTGCAGTGGGGGAGTCTGTGTGCAGGCAGGTGCAGAGCTGCCCTTACCTACGCAGGTGTGGTTGTTGGATGCCAGCTGGAAGCCAGCGTTGCACTGGCAGTAGTAGGAGCCCGGGGTGTTCACGCAGCGGTGGTGGCAGTAGGGAGGCAGGGTGCACTCGTCCACGTCTGGGTGGGCAAAGCAGAGACATGGGTTCAAATGCAACTCACAGTTCACTGTTCCTGTCTTGTGTGGGAAGAAATTGTTAAGCTTTTTTTCCCCTGCTTTTAACCCAATGTTATGTGAGCTAGGCAGTAACCTCACAAGTAAAATGATTCCCATTACGTTTGTAAATATCTGGTTTATGCTGATCATCTTCCAGCCACTGAGATCTATGCCCATTCCAGCCTTGTTCAGTTCCCCAGGTCTGCTTAGTCTTGTTTGCTTTGCACAGGTAATGCTTTGTTCTTCTCACCCAGGGCCAGGCAGAGTGCTGACCCTCACCATGCCCCTGGCTTAGCTCCTGTCTGCACAGGAGCTCACACGCAGCACTCTCAGCACGTACTCCATCCTTCCAGCTCCATTAGGCTCCCTGTGCAAGTACAGGGGACTGGCAAGGACAGAAGATTAACGGCTCTGGGAAGGAAACAGGTGGTTGTGCCTCCACAGGGATCCCCCAGAACCCAGCTTGCTCCCCCACGGCCCCCTCCCTGCCCCTCCTGCATCCCTTCCGCAGCGCCCTGGGGCTGTGCTCCCCGGTGCCAAGGCAGGCGTGCAGGCTGCCTGAACCTGCTGGCAGCTCAGGCTGCATTAACTTTCTGCAGGCTCTCCTGGCAGCTTAGCCCTGGGTTTGAGGTGGGGCAGGCAGCTCCCGCTCTCAAGATTTCCGCTGTGCGTTTCCTGCTGTGCACTGGAGCAGGGTTTTCACCTGGGAACCACACAAAACGCATACGAAAACGGAACGCCTTTGAAAGAACAGCCCATTCTTGTACCTCTTTGCATCTCAAAAGCTTTCCTTGCATTCTGGAGGAGATCCTGCCTCTGTGCCTGTCAGAAAAACTCTAATTAAGCCCTAGTGCTGATGGTCCGTGTGTGCAGCAGGAGGCTGGTGAAGAGATGGGTGCCTGCTCCTCACACGTACACAGTGAGAGATTTCAAAGGCTCAACGCCCTGACAAATCAGACCCCTTCTCATGGAACAAAAGAAAGGCACTTCCCATCTCCATGCCAGATCTTGAGTTTCCTACCTCCAGCTGTTTCCACCATAGATGTGTTTAAAAAGAGGCCAAGACATTTTTTTTTTATAATGAGGAAAGTGTTTGTTTTAATAGCAAGTGAAAAAATAATCTTCAGAAGTTAACCCTTTCTTTGTCAGACTTGCAGTCACTGTTTGGGGCTAAAGTAGCACTGGAGCATTTTGGATTGTTCTGAATGAAAAGGCTTATGCTAGAAAATTCCTGGCTATCTGTGCAGTAGCAATTGTTGCTATAACTCTTTTGTGGCAGAGAGAAATTTGGAAGTAGGAATGGAATAAAGCAGGAGGCACAGTAGATCTCTTCCATCCTTGACTTTCACAGGATTAAGCTCTTACAAATGACTCTTTAAAGATCTGATTCTACAACACAGACCTATGAGCAATGCTTTGCTGCTCAGGCACTGAGTTTAGGCACAGAAATGCTTCCAGGACCTGACTCTCATTCAGTAGGAGTTTTCCTTGCTGGATTAGGCATGTCAGCTCCATGCAGATCCAAGGGCTAAGCACTGTCTAATCAATTCAGCCAAATCTTCTGTTTGAAGTACTGCTGGAAAAAGTCTGTCTAAAATCTGCAGGGCCGTGTTTCAGGACAGACTGATTTTGCAATATGTGAACAAGAAAACTGACACACCTCAGACAGAAATGATTACTGAATTTAGGTTAAAATCAATCAATTGTTAGCAATGAGTCCTTTTTCTCCCTCTACCTTGAAGCTAAAATAGTCTGGAAAAAAATTCTTTCAAATTTGAGAAACATTTCCTCCCATATGGAGAATCTCTATCAAGATCTGGCCGCAAGAACATTTTCTGGCTAAGCTGTTATAAAATCCCTGAAGACAGGCTTTATTCTGAAATGCTGACAGTACCAAGTGTAGGGATGTACTTATAATTTAGGTCAGTGTGTAATATGTAACACAGGTGTTATTCTTGGTTCTGACCTAAATAGGAAAAGGGAAATTCCACTTTCCAGACATCTTCGTGTACAGATTGAGATGTATAAATGTATTCACATGGAGATATAAGGGTGCATCCTTCTGCTTCTTTTGAGTGCTGTCATGTGTCCCTCAACACTTTCAGGTAGCACCATAGATCTTGACATTACTGCTGTGCAATAGGACTTTTAATCTTTATATGCTCTGAAAAACCCACCTGATTAAACTCAGATATTTAAAAAATGAATTGTTGAGCTGTCAAAACTGTTGCTCTCCCTACATTCCAAACTACTCATCCTACAGTTGCAGGGAATTGAGAAAAATCAGATACATCTGTGTTTACATCAGTTTGACAGTTCGGGGCCTGATCCACTTTTCTTTGGAAGGAGATAAGAATTTTTGGGTTGATTTCTACAGCCCTTGGCTCAGAACCCTAAAGAAAGAGCCATGCCCAGAAATTTACTCTGTGCACTGAAATTTCCCGTTTCCTTCCTGTGGCTCGTGTTAAGCAGTGAATACCTGCAGCCTTTGCAAGGCTTTTGGAAAGATTAAAAATATCAAAAAAAATCTTAAACACTTTCAAGTGCAGGATCCCTAACACAAAAAGAGGAAAACCTGAAGTTCTGTTGTTCCTGTTCTGGTGAGGACAAAAGAAAAAAGTCCCAACAAGTGCTTCTCTCCTAGGCTGCATAAAACCAGTCCTGTGTCTTACCAAGACCACCTCCTGAGGTAGATACTTGATTTTCTTATTCCATAGGTTTTGATAATCTCTGACAAATCTAAGGCTTAAGGCTGGAGTGCCTATAACAGCAATTAATCCATTGAAATTACAATTAAGGAGGTGTTAACTAAAGGCTAGAAGAGGGGTGCAGGAACAGAGGGATGGCACTTTTGCATCATGTCCCCAGCAGAGGATGGAATAGGAAAGATTCAGTGTTTACACTGCACTTGGATTTAATTTAATGCTAGACTTGTATAGGTCCCAGGGGTGCTGATAGTTTCTTTTGGCACACAGAATAAAGCCTAGTGGTTTTCAAGTTGCAAACATCATATACCTGCATTCAGATTTCCCATCTCTTTGGTTTAAACTCTTAAAACTGAGCATGAAGCAGACTGTGAGGGGGGCTCTGCAGGGCAGGGGGTAGGTCTGTGTGGAGGCAGCACTTTGTCCTGCAGCTCTGGAGTCAGGGCTCACTGAGGTCAGGGGAGAGACCTGCTGCAGTTTGCTGCTGTAGCAGACTTGGGACTGGAGCTGGGACTTTAGGCAATACCCCAATATAAACAACAAACACAAGGGTAACTCTTAGGAAAATTCATCTTGTGGAGTTCAACTCCAAGTGTTGATTATACTTAAAACAGCTTTTAGTTCCACGTTTTTGTGAGTCATTATTGTGGTAAGGTGATGATTCCAGTGTGTGTCAAAGTTACAGAGCTATTTTACACTACACACACCTATACACTTTATCATCAATGCAGAGCATGCAACTGTAGATGATGAGAGAAAACAATTTAGAGCAACACTTACCAACACACTGCTCCCCTCGTTTCTGATAGCCTGGAGGACACTGACAGCTGAAGGACCCTCTTAAATTGACACATACTTGGTCAGCTCTACAATTATGGGTTCCAGTTGCACATTCATCTATGTCTTTATAAAAAAAGCAAATGCAACATTAGTCAGTTTACTTACAAACATTTAACCTGTTGAAATGCTTTACCCATCTTCCAGCTACCTGTAAGTGAAGGCAGCAGAGTTCAGATATGCTCCAAAGATGTCATTTCAATGCTCATTCCATTGGCAGGACATAAAATGTTATCAGATTTCTAGTAGCTCTTAATTCTGATATACTGCATTTGGGAATAGCTTCAGATATGGTTATTTTAAACCATCAGATTCTCTTGTCAAATACCAAGTTAATATTTTGTACTATCACTGCTTCCTGTAAACTTCAGGCAACTTTATAATCTTGGACTTTTTTTTTTTCCCCCCTGCTGGTTGGTTGTTGCCTGCTGAATTACTCTGGAAAATCTCATCCAGTGTAGGTCAGCCCTTTCTCAAGAAGGAGAGGAGTTAGAAATATGTTGTTTTGCTGATACTAAAAAGCCTCTGATGATCTCTTGCACGGTTCCCGTGCTCCACACTTTGGACAGGGACTTTGGAACATTTGGTAGGTGGTGGCCTTCTCATCAGGAAGAGATGGGCCTCTTGTCATTCCCAGGAACATTCCCCTAATTCAGTCAATCTGTGCAAGTCTTTGGAAACAGTTTGTGTGTTTCTATTTGAACAGTTCAGCTAAAAATGCAAGGACCTGACCGATGCTTTTCAGTGTAATTCAGGCAGCTTTCAGTTCACACAGAATGCAGGTTTGTACAAGCATAACAACATTTGGATTTTGCCTACTCATTACAACTGCTGGAGGTACTTAATTATAATTAAACTACATGTGCTGACAAATAGGTTGCTTAAAATGGAACTACAATTTGCTTTCTCATCTGAACATCCAAAATGTTGGAGAGCTTTTTATTGTAACCTGACACAGTACAGTGAAAGGACTTTTTAATTTTGGCATTGTACACAATTTGGAGACTCTAGGCTGAATAAACAAATTCCTTAAAACTTATGATCTCTAGTTTACAAATCTCAGCTGACCTCTCTATTTGTCTAGGCACTGGGGACGTTAGAACATCACCAGTGGCAGATTCTGGGTGGTGCTTTGGAAAAAGTGATGGATTCTTTCTCATAGCAAATGAAAACAATTTGGACCACAAAGATTCAATAAAAAATAAACCATCAACAGTTTAAATTAATTCTCCATGTTTGCCCTTTCCCAAACGTCCAAATATTTTACATATATCTTGTCTTTATCTGACAGGGAAAATAAAGGCTTTTTATGTCAGCCTGCTCTTGGCATTTCTGCAGAACCTCAGCCCAGAAGCTGGTGCAGGGCTTGCTGACTGCTTTGCTCTGCCCTGACAGCTGAAAAGCACATTCTCAGGTGTAAAGGCTTTCAGGGACTGCAGCTGGCTGCCTCATACCAGCCCGACACATCATTAAACTCTGGAGCCAAAGCACAGAGGAGTTCAATGCAAGTCTTCACAGGGACTTCTCTGGGCTTTGCTTGGACTTCTAGCTGCTACAAAAAGCTGGACATAAAACAGCTATAATACTCATACACTTCAAATGCTTTTTGGTGCAGAGTGTGCTGGAACAGACAGTTCAGTTGATCTGCAGGGACGTTGTATGTGTTACCTCTTAAGTCCTTAAACTGCCACTCTCATTGCACCCCTGGCTTGCTTTCCCTTTAACTTAATTTCTAGGGAATAAGAAGCTCCCTCTGCTAAAATGAAGCAAACTAGATTTATGCACTCATTGATTTTCCCAAGGGTAAGTTCAGTTTGAAAGAAAAAAACAATCATTCAGAAGTAGTGTTTGACTGCTAGCTGCCTCCTCATTTGGAAACTCTTGGAGGATTCAATGTTTACCCCAAACCAAAACCCCAAAAGATCTGTGTTTATAGGAACAACCTTTTCTTGATGTGTTTCCAGGAATTCTTTAGAGCTCTCCTAAGCTGCTTACTCAAGTTAGGATCCTGACCTGGGCTGCATATTAGCTGTGCCTGTATGTCTTCTGCATGCCATGACAATGCCTATCAGTATGTGGCATAGTCTTGGTGGGCTTCAGAAGAGCTTCATCAGTGTCACTTGGCATTGCCATGGTGCTTGGTGCTGTTTTAGCTGTCTCTGGATAGCTTTTGCTGGGATGCAACTCCCAAGGCAAGCTAAGGATACAGGCACAGGGAAAGAAGGATTGATGGGAGTTCTCTGAAAACTCCAATTATCTCTTGGTGGTTTGTGGTGTGGGTGGCTTTTTTTGGGTTGGTGGGGTTTTTTTGGTGGAATACCTGAGGTGGGAAGTGAAGCTGGCCAGGAGACCAGCGTTTGGAGCTGTTCTGCTCTCATGTCAGAGGAATACTGATGGCCTCAAGGTCATGTGTGAGTGCTTTAAGGACAATATTGTGGGATGAGACCAACAGGCAGCTCGAAAGGTTTCAGTGCTGGAACATTCAGTTCTGGAATCTCTGGTAGTGCAGTAATTACAGCTCTGTCTACTGCAGTGACCGGGAAGAGGGTGAGGAAGCGAGGGGAAGATTGGATTGCTGAGAGCAGTGCCAAATGTGGATTGTATTGGTGTGGTACCAGAAGCAGCCCAGCCCTCCTGTGGAGGATGGAAAGGAGCACTGGTGGATTTTGCAATGTGAGGTCGCTGCACAGATCTCTGCATCTCTGCCTTTGAGTGAGGCCCAAAGAGAAGTCTTCAGCTTCTTGGCACTCGATGTGACCTGAATCATCCCCTGCTAGAGAAACAGTCTTTTTTTTCTGACTGTCCTGAGAGTTACTGGAGAAATAGGGGAGTGGAAGTCACAGGAAGGAAGCAGCATCAACGTTGGAGGTCTCCCTGGCGTGAGGCTGATGAGCTCCATTTTTCTCTGAGATGGCAGAGGTAGAGTTATCCACCAGTACACACACATGCCTCTGTCCCATAGGAAATACCATCACCCTACACTGGTGGTGCCAGTGCTCATCTGGGACTCCCACTTGTGTTCCCAGTTCTTGAGTGGGCGTAGAGTTATCCACCAGTACACACACATGCCTCTGTCCCATAGGAAATACCATCACCCTACACTGGTGGTGCCAGTGCTCATCTGGGACTCCCACTTGTGTTCCCAGTTCTTGAGTGGGCAGGCTGGCTGTCTTCAGGATCTGGCTGAACTGCCTGATCTGAAGCTTCCAGATGGTTTTCCCAGTCATGTCCCCTCAGGATGGATATTGGTAGCTCCCAGGTCTTCAATCCATTATGCTAAGAACTTGTTTTTCTAGCTTTTCAGACTTCTCCAATTCAATGTCTTCCTAGCTTGTTTCTTGTAACTTCAGTGCCCTCTGATTCCATGACAGTGGAAGCTGCATCATCTCCTGCTTTTAGTCTGTATCAAATGCAATAATACAGGGCTGAGATGGTGGTTATACAAACCACATGTTTAAATTCTACCATCTCATTCCATTTGATCTTTCTTGACAAAATCCTTGGACTGAAGCATGAAGAGTAAGTGAGGGTATTTGGAATCCACACTGTTGGTTTCTGCCTACTGCAGACATCCACGAGCAGAGGGATCTGGGGTCTGTGAAGAGTCAGCAATCTGGGGCAAAGGTGTGATGAAACCCCTACAGGAGCACCAGAGCTTAGCAGCTTTAATCCTAAGAGCATGATAAATTTCCCTGACCTTTCCTCTCTAGCATGAATGTTTAATGATGTGTGTTACGTGCGTGTGTATTTAAAATAATTAAAAAGAATTAAAACAAGGCACTGCACTGCACACACTTGTCTCTCTGGGGAGAGGGTGAGAACAAACATGTGACAGATGTTTGTCATGTTGCTTAATGCACTACTGGAAAGCACTCAAGATACCACAGTGATGAGTACAGTATAAGAAACAGATCTAGAAAGAAAGTAATGGACTTTTACAAGCTCATTCTTGAGCATCTTTCCTCTGCATCCTCTTTTCCAAATTTAGTGTCATCCTGATAAAGTTTGTTTCCATAAATGCTTCAGCAACTGATGCAATAGCTGAAGCTTCCACCTTAACCAAATAGCTTGTAAGCTATGCCTGAAAACACCCTCAACCCATTCCTCATCAACTTGGTTTAAACTTCATGTCTAGATGTTACACATATATTTGTCTCCCCAGATAGATAATGGAAATTACCTTGGTAACCAGTCATGAAAATCATCTCCTCTAACACAACCCTTTCTTCCAAATTTAGTGTCATCCTGATAAAGTTTGTTTCCATAAATGCTTCAGCAACTGATGCAATAGCTGAAGCTTCCACCTTAACCAAATAGCTTGTAAGCTATGCCTGAAAACACCCTCAACCCATTCCTCATCAACTTGGTTTAAACTTCATGTCTAGATGTTACACATATATTTGTCTCCCCAGATAGATAATGGAAATTACCTTGGAAAATCATCTCTTTTAACACGACCCTTTCTTTTTCCTTTGTGTTTTCTGATCTCTGCTAATATGTTACAAGGTTTTACCATTCACTACAGATAAATGGGAGCTGTAAGTTTGCATTCAATCGTCCAGCAGCCTGAACGCTATTTGACTATTGATGCATGCAACCTCTGAAATGCAGATCAATTCTTAGACTCACTGCATCCCTGAGTCTGAGCTAAGACATTGCTCAGACTTTTATTCCTAGACAGCTGTTCTCTGGACAGTTACAGCCTGGGTAGTTGGAAAATTTCCTCTGCAAACAGCCTGCGTGTCTAATGATCCTTTTGCAGCTCAGTCTCGCTTGAGATTGAGCTGAGTTACCTTCAGTGTCTTGATTGCTGTCATAATCAAACTGACATAATTATGTAGTAGGCAGCAGAGCTTGCTCCTGTATTCCTTCAAAACATAAATCAACTTGCCTCTCATAGCTGTAATTCCCCAAGCCTCACTAATAGCTATACCCAGTGATTCCCTCATTTTCCAAAAATGTACCCGCGCTCCCGCCTGAAGTGATTTACACAATTATGTCCTTCCACTGCTGACTTTGGCAGCCTGCTCAGTATTTCAACCACCAGTTGTGTACAGAAATTTTGC